ACATAACTAATTTCCTAATTTCCGGAGAGATGCCAACATCCCCTACCCCCCCCTTCCACCTCCCCCTGCCCTCCACCCCCCCTCCCCCTTCCCCCCTTACACCACCGTAAAACAGGACCGCAGATGTGATGACGCAAGAAACCGTATTCTGAGAAGTTAGTCTAGGGCCTGTTACGCCACGGAGGCTTATGCTAAAACGTGTTGTAATCAGCTGTTTTCAATTGCTCGTTTTCTGTCAATGGAGTAAATGGAGTGGCTTATTATCGTTATTATCATCCTTATCTTTGTTATTATTATTATTATCATCATAGTTATTATTATTATTGTTATTATTATTATTATTATTATTATTATTATCACCATCATTATCATTATTGTTACTTCTACTACTACTGCAATTATTACAATTATTATAGACATAAACACTATGATTATTATTATCATTATTTCTATTATCATGATGATGGCGTTTATCAACATCATTATCATTATCACTATTATTATCCTTCTCATAACCAATATCCTTTTTCTTCTCTTCTTCCTCCTCCTCCTCCTCATCATCATCGTCTTTACCATTTATATCAATTTTATCATCCATTTCATAATTTTATTTGTGCCAGTAATTGCTAGTTTAACTTCTAAATTATAGGAAGTTTTATTTTCAATCGTTTTTCTCTATTTTCTTTTCCTTTTTATATTCTATTTTCTTTTTTTCTTTAACGGAGATGTAAATGAGAAGGTGATAACTGACTGTTTGTCCGAGTAAAAGAGAAAAAGGAAAAAGAAAAAAAAGAAAAAGAAAAGAAAAGAAAATGAAAAAAAACGAAAAAAAGACAAAAAGAACAAAGAAAAAAAGAAAAAAAGAAAAAACAAAAAAGAAAAGGAAGAAAAGAAATGGGAAAAAACGAAAAAAGAAAAAGAAAAGACAAAAGAAGAAAAAAGAAAGAAAGAAAGAAAGGGCAACTTACCAACTTATCAGTCAACCTGCCAAATGCACCTTCAAAAATAGAAAATAATGAGGCGGAAATTTCATGTCACTGCTATCATTTTTTTTTTTTTTTTTTTTTTTTTTAGATTCGCGAAGCAGAGCCTCGCCCGGGCTATGCCTATTTGGGGAGCCCGGTTGTGCTATCATTAATGTTATTTTTTGTAGCCATAGTGCCCGTCCTTAGTGTGGTTAATTGTAGAATATTGTTTTTTTTTATCACTTTATGCGTGTAAGTACATACCGTATTATGTATAGTGTATGTGCATGATGAGATATAGTGGAATTATTTTTTGTTGTTCTGTATATTTTTTTCTGTCTATCTACCTATCGTTTTTTTTTCTTATTTTCTGTCTCTTTCTCTTTAATGCCTGTCTAATCCTGTTTTTCTTCGTATTTCCTTATGGCTATTTTTTAAAAGCTGTCTTCATCTGTCTATCTACCTTTTTCTACTTTTTTCCTATCTCCCTTTATCTAATTTCTACTTATCTTCCTTTATTTACATTCTACCCATTTTCCTACAACCATTTTCAACCTATCTTCCTTTCGTCTACTTTCTACGCAATTTCCTTTGCCTTCCAATCTACTTTTTTCCAGTTTCTACCTATCTTCCTTTATCTACTCTCTTCCTTTATTTACATTCTACCTATTTCCCTCCATCCATTTTCTATCTTCCTTCCTTTATCTATTTTCGACCAATTTTCCTTTGGTTTTCAATCTACATTTTCTACCTCCCTTCTTCTACCTTTCTGTCTACCTTTGTCTTCTCACTCTCTTTACTCACCTACATCAATTCCAAAATTGAAAAAAATATATATATATATTGTCCATATTTTTAATACTAATTTCACCCTATTCTGTTCGTTATATTAAAAATATACTATGATGCCATGTATTTGTCGATTTTTTTTATGTAGCAATTAGGTAATTTTAAGCTCGCACGGATGTCTGAATAAATATAAAAAAATTCTTTACGTGTATGTGTGTTTTTTTTTTTTGCCTTAGTTTGTCCACGCATGCAAGTGTGACTATTGTTTGTCCGTTTGGGTCTGTTTGTGTGTGTATATGCATTTCCATAAAGTAACATTATGCACGCGCATTGCATAAACAAACACCAAAGAGATAAGTATTTTGCAAGAGTAATGCCCATTTGGTCATAATAGATGGGTATCTAGAGGTATCCAGAGGGTTATACTGATGAACTTTTGGGTAAATCATGGCATGAGGTTATTTATCTTTTTGGTGGTGTTTTATGCAACGCAGATATGATAGGCATATCATGTTATGTTTTATGAGCGGAATCATGTTATCTATCGGTGTAAAAAGTTACGTTTTCCTGTGATTGTGTTATCGAGATTTTTTTTAAGGGGAAAAGTTTGAAAATATGAATGATGTTGTGGTTGGTGAATTCAAGAATATTGTTTTTCATAGATAGGTAGATAGAAAGCTAGATAGATAGGTAAATAGAGAAAGAAAAAAGATAGAAAGATAGACAGACAGATAAACATACATTGATCGATAGACAGACAGATAGGCATACATAGATCAATAGACAGACAGATAGATGACCGTTTTAGGGCAATATATATAGACAGATAGCCATGAACCGAAACGTTTGAAAATGTGACCGATATTGAGACTACAGAAAACGTCAGACAAGTTTTGTTTTAGGGCAAACTCTCCTAAAGAACGAGGGTGGGTCACGAGATATTAACAAGGGATTACAATATCTTTAGGAAAAGTGTCCTTAGACAGATTGGAAGATATTGGTTATATTAATATACTATGAAGCCATGTATTTACTGCTTTTTATGTCACAATTGGGTATTTGAAGCTCGCGCGGATTTCTGAATAAATATAAATATTTTTTTCTTTTTTAATATAGTTAGAAATATTATGAATAGGACAGTTGATTTGAGAAAGGGACCGTGCGTATAAAAATCTTGGGAATACAAATGGTGATTTTCAAATGCGATGTAGGGCCTGTTTTATTTGTTATCGAACAAAAGTCATATCATAAATCTATCACACATACACACACACACACACACACACACACACACACACACACACACACACACACACACACACACACACACACACACACACACACACACACACACACACATACACACACACACGCACATTCACACGCATTCACACACACACAAACACACATTCGCACGTATGCAGTATATAGAAAAATTGATAAATATACTGTAAATCTAAAACACAATGCATTTTATAAAGAGATTCAAGAATTAATATATACATATATATATATATATATATATATATATATATATATATATATATATATATATATATATATATATATAAACAGAGAGAGAGAGAGAGAGAGAGAGAGAGAGAGAGAGAGAGAGAGAGAGAGAGAGAGAGAGAGAGAGAGAGAGAGAGAGAGAGAGAGAGAGAGAGAGAGAGAGAGAGAGAGAGAGAGAGAGAGAGAGAGAGAGAGAGAGAGAGAGAGAGAGAGAGAGAAGAGAGAGAGAGAGAGAGAGAGAGAGAGAGAGAGAGAGAGAGAGAGAGGTAGGGGGAGAGAAAGAGAGAGAGAGAGAGAGAGAGAGAGAGAGAGAGAGAGAGAGAGAGAGAGAGAGAGAGAGAGAGAGAGAGAGAGAGAGAGGTGGGGGGAGAGAAAGAGAGAGAGAGAGAGAGAGAGAGAGAGAGAGAGAGAGAGAGAGAGAGAGAGAGAGAGAGAGAGAGAGAGAGAGAGAGAGAAAGAGAGAGAGAGAGAGTGAGAGAGAGAGAGAGAGAGAGAGAGAGAGAGAGAGAGAGAGAGAGAGAGAGAGAGAGAGAGAGAGAGAGAGAGAGAAAGAGAGAGAGAGAGAGGGGGGGTGGGGAGAGAGAGAGAGAGAGAGAGAGAGAGAGAGAGAGAGAGAGAGAGAGAGAGAGAGAGAGAGAGAGAGAGAGAGAGAGAGAGAGAGAGAGAGAGAGAGAGAAAGTAATCATTTCTTCATAATTTGATATGCGCAGGGTTGCCGTTGATAAAATTTCAACTAAAACAAAGGAAACACACGAACATACCAAAGTGATTTAGAAGTAACAAATAACCCAGGAAATAGTGATAATGATAAACACTACCCTGATTTAAGCCAAAAAAAAAAAAAAAAAAAAAAAAAAAAAAAAAAAAAATCTTATCAGTATAAGATCAAATGCAGAATTACGAGGCTACTGTAAATTTATGATGACTCCCTTCCCCCACCTCTTACTCGTAGTCTCTGTTTGTCTGTCTGTCTGTCTGTCTGTCTGCCCAAGTGTATGCGTGTATGCGCATGTGAGTGTGTACGTTTATATGTCTATTTGTTATGTGTTTCTGTCTGTCTGTGTGTATATTATGGGAGTGTGTGTGTATATGTTGATGTTTCTTTGTGTATGTGTTTTTGTGCAGGATTGTGTGTGTGTGTTGCGTCTACTTTTTCTCCTCTTTTTCTCCTTTTCTTTTTTTTTCTTCTTTTTCTTCGTCATCTTTTACTTCTTCTTTTTCTTCGCCATCTTTTATTTCTTCTTCTTCTTTTTCTTCGTTATCTTTTACTTCTTCTTCTTATTATTATTATCATCATTTTTCTTTTTCTTCTTCTTCTCTTCGCCTTTTCCTTCTTCTTCTTCCTCTTCTTTTTTTCTTCTTATTTCTTCTTTTTCCTCTTCTGTTTTTTTCGTTTTCTTCGTCCTCTTTTACTTCTTCATATTATTATTATTATTATGTTCTTCTTCCCTCCTTCGTCTTCGTCTTTCTTCTTCATCTTCTTCCTTTTCTTTGTTTTCTTTTTCTTCTTTACTGTTTTCTTCTGTTTTCTTTGTCTTCCTTTTCGTTTTTAACCAAGTCATCCCTTCCCCTTCACCCCTATCCTCCCCCCCAAAAAAAAAAATCCTAAAAAACAAAGCGCAAACCCCTCCTCCTCCTCCCTTTTTAGTCAAGTCACCCCTTTCCTCCTTCGACCCCAACCGTTTTCTACCTCTCCGTTTTCTACGTCTCCGTTTTCTATGACTCCGTTTTCTACGCGAACAACAACACCAGCGAGGGAGACGCGCCGGGAACTCGACTCGTTTTCGAAATATAAATCCTCTTTTTTTGGCCTATTTTGGAGGTTCTTCTCGTCCCTGAGGCAAAGTAAGGATTGTTCTGAGTTGGGGATTTAGGGGATTAGTTGGTTAGGGTGGAATTAAGTTTGTTTTTTTTGGAAAGGGAGGGATTTTTTTTGGGGGGTAAGGGAAAAGAAACGTGGGATTTTTTGTTTTGAGTTTTTGAGTTTTTTTTTCTTGTTTTTCTTTGTCTTTTCTTTTTTATTTATTTATTTATTTATTGGTGGGAGGTGTTGTTTGGTTTGTTTGGTTTGTGATGTTGGTGTTGGTAGAGATTTGATGTTGATTGATTATTGAGTTCTTTTGCGGGTTTGGAAATTTTGAAAACGTTTTTGGGGAGAGATATTTGAATATTTTTTTTTTTTCTTTTTCACTGTTTCTAATATCAAGAGTTAAGTATAGAACCTTTGCATTTCTATTGTTCAAGTAATGATGTAATTAAGTCTTTAAAGTATGAAAGTGATTCCAAATAATGTATTCAGAACATATGTAAATCAATTTTTAATTTTCTTACAAAAGCCTACAAATTAACTGACAGTGGCTCTTGACTAATTACTTTCCTTGAATTATGTCACCTTTTTTCTGTCCTGAATCCACTTGGAAATCGCATTAATCCACAAAGAAATGGGAAATAGGAAACTCGACCAATTATGACAATTCAGGATGTAGTCCCTTTGCCCTCGGTACTCCGGTAAAAGCCAACGGACCTCTGCAGGGAAATTCCGGCAAGATGGCGCACTGTCCTGGCCCTTAATTTGGTTAAAAGTTAGCCGGGGGGGGGGGGGAGGTCGATGATAACTATAACTCTTGGGCCAAACAATATTTTTTTTTACATTTGATTAAATATTTTTTTATATGGTACATATATAAGCCATGAGAGTATGATACCTTTAGTACTTTATTACTGTTTTCAACATATATCAAATGAATTTAAAACTGGAGAATATATAGGATTTTTTCTTATTAGTGTTTTTAATTATTTGGTCTTGCAATATTCACCTTATGTTGAAGTACACTACAGTTGATTCCATTTCTTTGCCGTTTTGAAGTATTGTCCACTATTTCTTTCTTTATCGTCTCTGTCTGCTCCTCCTTTATTGAATTAGCTTTTCGGAAGTATAATTGAAGTGACTTTGAAACAGAAATGACTTAAGTATCTTATACCATTTGGAAAGAATTGAAGAAGCACTAGCAATACCTTCACTAAACAAAACACAGAAAGTAGTACTTGTTTTTTTATGTCATAGTAACTAACATAGAGAATGCAATACGTCTTGGGTTTTGCTTTTTTTTTTTTCTTCCTTTCTTTTTCTAAATTTTTATGTTGACCTTGTTTATCTCTCTCTAGTGTATATTGCACAGGGACTTGTAAGAAGAGTGATATGGATAAATGTATATCTCTGTCTTTTAACCCTGTAAATGGTAATAGTAATCTCATAACTAGTCAGGATAACTGTCATAAGTAATTTAGAAAATGGGTAAAAAAGCAAAAAAAAAATATATATATAATCACTGGTAACACATGTTAAAGGGAGGTTCTTGGAGTTCGGTTAAACGTCAACTATCCAGCGGCTGTAACACTAAACTAGCAAACCCTATTATCATTTTTTCTCTTAATGGTAAAACTATTACTTTAAATATTATGTAATCTATAATGCTTACAGTGTATTATGGCATTACCAGCCTGGTGGCAATGAGGCTAAGTGTCATTTCCTTGCTTTTATTCCACAAGCATTCTTTTACTTTTTGTCTTGTTAAAATGTGTGTGGTTTTGGTAATTTTATTCAGTATGTATGAAAGGTTGCAATGAAAAATGAAAAGAACAAAGTTTTGTGTGTTATGTTTCTCTGTTGTTATATATATATATATATATATATATATATATATATATATATATATATTTATATATATATATATATATATATATATATATATATATATATATATATATATATATATTATATTATATATATATATTTATATATATATATATATTATATATATATTTTTTATATATATATATATATATATTATATATATATTTATATAATTATATATTATATATATATTTTATATATACAAATTTATATACAAATGTATTCAGCAATATATTTTACTTAGAAATGTAAATTACCAGGAGATTGGGTTTGTCCTTTTTTGGGAGGGTATTTGCATAGATATACAGTATTCTATGTTTAAAAAGAAATATGTGATCTGTCAAAATTAAACCTGTGCATTTTAATTGTTGTAGGAAAATGTAATGTGTAATTTTTGTCACAAGATACCATTTCTGCTTCACCACTGTTGAATGTAAAAGTAAATTTTATCAGAAAGAAAGTAACCTTAAGTCGGTCAGTAATTCAGTAACTAGTATACTATATCCTGTTGCTACTTCAGGTCGGAAGCAGAAATGGCATCTTCCCCATCCAAGGTTCCTGTAAAATCTCCGTCCCTAAAGTCCTCCGGAGGCTCCACACCCACGGGGATGCGCGGCCGCCCGAGCCTCAACCCCACAGACCTCACCCTCCCCACTCAGCGCGTCAAGATGATCATGAAGAGCTGTCCTGACGTGGAGACGGTCTCGCAGGACACTCTCCACCTGATTACACGGGCCACAGAGCTCTTCATCGAGTTCCTGGCCGTCGAGTCGTACAAGTTCGCTGAGGACAAGGACCGGATGGACTATGAGGCCCTGTCTTCGCTAGTGCACACGACCGAGCACCTTGAGTTCCTCAGGGAAGCAATTCCGAAGAAAGTCACGTGGGCCGAGGCACAGAAACTGATCGAGGAAAATAGTAACAAGTTTGAAGGGTTCTTCTAGCGCGGAGATGCGAAATTGTGAATGGACGTAGCCTCTTAAAGGAATGTGTATATGAAAGAGCAACTTGAGAGCTGTGAGTGACAAGGTTGAATGGTTGGCTTCGTCTGGACAAGATGATGATGTACCTTAATTGTGGTCCAAGATTACTGAGGGATCATTTATAGAGATTTTCATAGTGGGGATTTATCACTTTTAATTGTAATTTCAGTGTTGTGTAGAAAATGGAGACTACAAGATATACTATTTTTTACTTTATGTTTAGTCAGTTTTTTTTGTACTTTGATAACTAGATGTTCCTGAATTCTTATGAGGAATAAATATTATAGTTACCTCTATATGAAGTTATATGTTCTGTACACAAATTCTGTGAATTTGCACTGAGTGTAGATGTCGTGGCACATTTATAGCAGCAGTCACATATATCTTCAATCAGGACTCTTTTTAGGGAAAATTTTATTGTTCTATTTGAAATGAAAGTTGTACTTATTTCCCTTCAATATTTCTTGAATTATTGACGTGTAATGTGAGATATTTTAATGCCATTTCTCACTTCTCATTTGGTATTGTATGGGTGTATGAAGCAGAGAAATCTCAGGTACAGAGATCAATGAATGAAGCTTTACTCTTGTAATCTTTTATACCATTTTTTGAAATAAATGATAGTGATGATTTATACTTCTTTAGTTTGTATATCCCTGATGTTTCCTCGTGGATTCAGGTGTAATGAGAAATCAGTATTGCTAATTTTCACTCTAATTTTCAGTGAGAAGGATAACATTTACATTCATATTATACATATCTTGATATAGTAGATAATATGCGCAATCAATAACCCATATATATTTAATTTATGTTTTTATAGATTTGATAAGTACCTTTTGATATATAGATGAGCAGTAGATAAAAAGTGGAAGGTAATAATAAACAAAATTATAAGCCGCATAGTACAGAAAGGACAGACCCTCCGTGCCCAAGTTCATCCCTTAGAACTGTCTGTGTGTGAACTACCAGCTTTATTGTTGTATCTGAAGCCCATGATTGGCGTGTGTTTCGAGGACTGGTGGTGTTGAGTGGGGAACTTAGAAGGGGAGGGGACTGCACATGGTGATGGTGAAAGTTCATAAAACAGGTGGATTGTGTGGTGTGAATTGAATTTGTAAGATATTTCCATGTTGAGATAGGAGATGGTGATAATATTACAGAAGTAAAAGAGAAGGAACATATAATTGAGTAAGTTTCCTGATCTTAGATTACTTCAGATATACAGTTAAGAGACTAGAGTATATTTTCAGCGAGAGGGAAGAACTTTTTTTACCAAACGGTTTTCTTCCGCAGCTGAAAAATGGCAGAAGATGGAGAGCCAACTACCGGAACCATGGCAGTCGAGGAGCCCCTAGACCTCATCCGCTTATCGCTGGATGAAAGGATCTACGTCAAGATGCGTAATGAGCGAGAGCTGAGAGGACGTCTGCATGCATATGACCAGCATCTCAACATGATCCTAGGGGACGTGGAAGAGACTGTGACGTCAGTGGAGGTACGGATTGCTAAATGATGATTTTCATTGCTAATATATTTTTTTTTCCAGTGTGAATGTTTATATTTTAGTTATTGCTGTGAGAATAGTTGTTATGGTAAAAGCTCTTGGTCTTGGCCTCATTACCAATCTTCATGTTACTAGAAGTTTATAGAGAAACATTTTTATATTTGAGGATATTAAGATATTAATAGAATAACTATAAACAGCAATTCACAAATGAGGAGGGAAATAATAAAAAAGAATTGTTTAAAACATCTGACTTAAGCATATGTAAAACTTACCTTAGATGGTTTAACCAAAATTCAGTCATAAAGCTTAGGACTTAAGCTCTCTTCCCGTCTCACTGATACTATAACTTCCTTCCAGGTTGACGACGAAACTTTTGAAGAGGTTTACAAAACAACAAGGAGGAATATTCCCATGCTATTTGTCCGAGGTGACGGCGTGATCCTTGTAGCTCCCCCAATGAGAGGCGGGGGGGTATAGGAACTAGGATTGCATATTTAGTTAAAATTACTTCTGTGTTTTATGGGTAGGAGGAATGTGTAAATCCTATCTGTATTGTCATTAGGATTTTATAATGGGTATTGCTAGTATTTTATGTTATGATTATGGACTTTAAAAGATTTTCACGTAATGGCTGGAGTCCATGTTTGAGATACCTTTTGTGGAAGGTAGTGTTATAAATGGTTTTAAAATTCTATTTTACATTTTTCTATTATTTAAGAGATTTTTTTTTTTTATTGCGAGAAGGTACCTTGTGTTCCATAAATAACATATCATACAATAGTATGAAAAAAAGTCAGAACATTTGTTTCAAAATAGCAGTTCCCAGTTTCCACTTTTCCAAAGACTGAAAGTAGGTAATAAAAACAATTGCAAAGCATTTCAGGATTTTCAGCTTATTCAATCCTTTTAATGAGAAAATGATGTTAAAAATTAAAGTGTTTAATTATATTTGTAAGTTTTTATCCTCCTTTTTTTTATTACTTCCACATTATCAGAACAGAAATGGAGTTTTTTTTTTTTTTTTACATTTTGCCATATGAGGGCAAGGTCTGTTTTTAATTGTTTTTAATGTTGTAGTCTGTCTTGGAGAAAATAAAAATACTAGAAGGCAATCATCTCACATGCATTTCATATAAAGAGCATTTGAAAAACATTTACAAATTATAAAGTTAAACTATAAGTCAGTCTTAAAAATATAAGGCGTAAACAGCACTCAGCGACTGGTTAGCATTCAAAAGTAACCCATTTGTTATTAGGTCAACAATATGCACAAACCAGGTTAAGGTCAAAGAAAAAATAGTAGTGGCCATTTATAAGTAAAACAAGTTGAGAACAACAGATATGTATGAATTCTTGAGGGCCTTAAGAGTCTGAAGCAAGCTTTCCCGATGTATTAGGTTAAGAAATTATTTGGAATAACAATGCCATCTCTGAAGGGTGATTGAGGGAAGTGGGTCTGTCTAGTTCTTAAGGAGTGAGTAGGGTTAATGGCCTGTATGCAGTGGTATGGACGACGGCAAGAAAAACTATACTATTTTATTTTTATTGTTAGAGTGATGAAAATCATTTGAGAAGTTGATAGGTTGGTGATGATTATTTTAAATGCAACAGTTTTATTGAAGTCTTGCATTCAGCCAGTCATTGGCAACATCTCGAGTACATCTTTACCACGATAGAAAGAGAAAGAGAGCGATAAATGAAGAGTACAGTTTGACGATTGTTATACCTACGAATCTACATTAATGTGATGTCAGGTACTTTGATCAATAATCTACAGTAAATTTTTGATGTCAGGACTGAAGAATTACTTCAGAATTGTGAGTATTTTTAAGGCAGTATTCAGATGTTTCTCCACAATTCAGGTAAGGCTGTAGGGACAGCCCTGCCTTGGTCGTCAGCCCTCGCCTCAACTAATTTTGCTGGGTCTTTTCTTCTCTCCCTTTACTATTCCTACTCTTCTTCATCCCCTTCTTCTGATCACTAATCCAAATTGTTAATTTACTCTTTTTGCCATAATAGTTTACCATCGTGCTCTGTAGCCTTTGATGCCTGGTGCATTTGTTTGTTTTGACCACTGACCATTCTGGAAATCTACAAACATTGTCTTACTGAGCCAAAAAATCTTAGCTGGGGTCTTTTGCTCATAAGCCCCATCCTATCACTATATTTTGTATATGCTGCTAATGACCTTGCATGCTGAATCGGCAAAAAGTTTTCAATAAATAAAAAATATCCTATTTCATGTCACTTAATATTACAAATAAGCAATTATGTGCCAAATGCGCTTGAAGTGGCAGTAAAAAAACAAGGAAAACTACCAATAGGTGCCAAGAACCAGCATTACTGGCTGCTAGACAACTTTTAGTACTGCAGTTAATGGGTTAAGAGACTAGACCAGGGAATAATTCATCAGGAAAAGGGATATATCCATGACGCATGTTTCTATGACAAAGTTAATATTTAAATGTGTATTGGTCTATGTCTTTGTAATTGTTTATCTGTCTTTACATTTTGTAATCATAACAATGAAACTATTAGTTTTGTCTCCTGGAGTAGTCATAATGTAATAACAGCCTTGAATATGTTAACCCCTTGCCATTGAGTGGCATGTACATACCTGCCATGGCATGCCTGGACTACATTCCAGGTGGTATGTGCATTTGTACCATGGTGCGCTAGTCCCATTTTCCGGGGGCATGCATGGTCATGCCGTGCACGCTGTGGTGCCGACACAATCCCGGCAGAATTGCCACTGTGAATACAGCCCTGAAGAGAGGGCTTTTACATTGGGAAACCACCCAGCAGCAATGGGTTAAAAGAAATTGTAGTAGTGAAATTTAAAAGCCAAATAATTTGCTGGAAGAAAGCATTGATAAGAGGGAGACTAAAGGATTGCTGTTGATAACTATAACTATCATCAACAGCTTTGACACTGCACTGAAAATTGTACTTGGACTGACTGATTGCTATATTGCTGTTTTTCAGTATACATCACATTTGATCTTGTGTCCATGATTTTCTTCCGTGTCATTCATTTATTTTGACAGCGTGACATCATATTAATAATTGGAATAAATGCAATTCACACAAGACATTGTACAATCATCTTAAGCATTTATTAGTTTGTTTTTTTTGTATCACAGTTCACACTTCAAGCACAGAGAAGATGGGCCACACTCCTTTTAACAAGTCTACCAATCCTATCCGCAACTGCCCCTTTTTTCTCTTCTCTAAAATAAATCTGGGACATTGTTTAACTGACCCTTGTTAACTGAAGCACACAAGATGACACTGGTAAATCTAGTTAACTACAAACTGGGGTGACTGACTGTATATAAAAAGGAATCCAGTCTGTATTAACTGAGCAGTTTCCATTTTATACACCCAAAACAGACCCCACAAACATAAACAGGTATTATAAAAATCAAAAATATTAAAAAGGTACACAAAATCAGTATAAAACTGACAACAGTATAGGAAAACTTAAAAAACAAATAAAATATATATCTAACTTTTTTTCTTATACACAGCAGGTAAACGTAACAGTATACTGTAAGTAAAAAAAACAGAGGTTAACAGAAACACTCTAAAAATATGATACAGTAAGACTTAATTTACAATTCCCATTAATTGTAAAATGCCTTTCATCATGGGACAGAAAGGGTACTTAAAATGAAAATGCCACATCCTTGAAATTCTTATGCCAGAGATATTCCTTTACAAATAACAATTGAGATGCAATCAGACACTTCATTCTTCCCCTCCATTTTCTGAGAGTAATCGAACCCTATTATGATATATAATTTGTCTCCGTTACTCCGTTCTGTGAAGCAATACCTGGAATTGCTGTTGTAATCTTGTCCAGACCTTCACCCTTAAGTGAACAAACTCATGGAAACTTTTATGTGCCAAAATTCTATATATCCCTAAGAAATTACACAGTAAATCACCATAGTAGGACAAAGACTTGCACTTTTTTGATATGGATGTATAGGCCACTAAATCATCACTGTGTTTCACAAAGAAATGAGAATTATGAGTTATGAATAAAATAACTTGGAATAAAAGCATTCTATAATATTCATAGCTATATAAAAGAGAATACAATAGAGTATTAACACTGTATCAGATGTATAAGCAAAACCAAGAGACATTAGATAGAAAGATATTTCATGATCTCCATTATATTATTTTATTATTTTCTTTGAGCTTAGAGTAAAGGCATTTCGCTGAACAAATGTATTCCGCTTGTGCTAGTCATATGGGCATCAATCACTGGCAATCCACAAACAGTTTACACTTATACAAGAGCCAGAACAAGGATGCAACTGCCTTGGATCACTACTTCTTCCAGAAATTCGGGTTCTGTTGCAACTTCCGGCTGAAGCTCTCGTACCATTTCGTGAGCACCGAGAAGGGTAAGTACTGTTCGGATGGATTAGGGGTGATCTGCGAAGGACTCTGGGCGAAGCTAGATGCAAAGTTGTAGAGGTTTTCGCACATGGCATGGCTGAACTCCATGTAGGAATTAAGGGTTGATGCCTCTGTGGATGGATTGGCAACCTGGCCCTGTATTTGTGACAGCGGTTCCACCTGTATTGTGTTAAAAAAGCAATGGTTTTCTGAGTATCGTATCAGTAAAGAATCACCAGATTTTAAAATTTCATCTATTTGCACTTAAACCATAAAAATATGAATAAGTACATATATGAACTACACCAAATCCACAAAACACTAAAGTAGAACAACAATTTCTGCGAAAAGACCGGAAGCAAACTAACTGGACTTACCGATATCCCAATCTGAGCATTGTGGGATACTTTCTGAGCTCCGAAATTATACCCCGACTGTAGGATTGAGTCGCCCGTTTTCTTTAGGCCAGAAATCTTGAATATTGCTGAGGGTTTGGTGTTCGTTATGTTACCCAGGAGGTGCCAGGTGGGGGGGCCATTGGGGTCTGGCCAACTAAAGTATACTGTTTTGGAAGAAAAGGTTTACATGAATAAGGTGCTTTGATAGCTGGGTTAATTCAGTAAACTATGTGTATTACAATATATTTGTATTCTGGGATATAGTAGAGATTTCACATTCTTACAAGCATTGATGTTTTATTGCATCCTAAACTTTACAAAATGAAAATGTTAGAGACCTATATATCAACAAGAAAGAAGAAAAGAAAAATGAAAAGATAGATACATATAATCCCCACCCAGAAAAAAAAATCCCAAGAGAGAGGAGAGGAGAGGAGAGGAGAGAGAGACAGAGAGAGACAGAAAGACAGACAGAACAGAGACAGAAGGAAAGGGGGGAGGGGGAGAGGAGGAGATGAGGAGAGAGAGAGAGAGAGAGAGAGAGAGAGAGAGAGAGAGAGAGAGAGAGAGAGAGAGAGAGAGAGAGAGAGAGAGAGAGAGAGAGAGAGAGAGAGAGACAGACAGAGAGAGAGACAGAGGGAAAGGGGGGGAGGGGGAGAGGAGATGAAAGTGAGAGAGAGAGAGAGAGAGAGAGAGAGAGAGAGAGAGAGAGAGAGAGAGAGAGAGAGAGAGAGAGAGAGAGAGAGAGAGAGTGAGAGAGAGAAAGAGTGAGAGAGAGAGAGAAAGAAAGAGAGAAAGATGGGGAGAGGGGGAGAGGGGGAGGGAGGGAGGGAGAGAGAGCGAGAGAGAGAGAGAGAGAGAGAGAGAGAGAGAGAGAGAGAGAGAGAGAGAGAGAGAGAGAGAGAGAGAGAGAGAGAGAGAGAGAGAGAGAGAGAGAGAGAGCGGATGGGGATGGGGAGGAGGAGGAGGAGGAGGAGGAGGAGGAGGAGGAGGAGGAGGAGGAGGAGGAGGAAGAAGAAGAAGAGAGAGGGAGAAAATAAAAAGAGAAAGAGAAAACACAGAGAGAAAGTGGGACAGTGGAAGAGGGACAGAGAGAAAGAGGAACACAGCAAAAAGACAAGACAAAAACACAAAAAAACCAAAAACCAAAAAACAAACAAACAAAAAAACATAGAGACAGAGACAGTGAGGAGGCAGTGGGGGAACACAAGGACACCCACCCCCCTTCCCCCTACTAAAACCACCACGAATTTGAAAGCAATAAAACGGACTCTCCCACTCCGCTCCTCCTGACCTGAGCCCCCAAGACCATCGGGAAAGGGGACACTGCCCGTCAGAAAGACTACCACGTGATTGATGTTGTCCGCCTCAGGAATGATGCAGAGGAACTGTTTCTCCCCCACTTGCTCGAAGTTTGTTTGCACCTGCGGAAGACGAAGTTGGTGTTCCTTTAGGATAATGGTGATCATAAAAGGTACTTTATCAAAGAAATGTTTTAAACGCAAAGGGGTAAATTATAAAGTGAAGTGTGCTTGTTTGTTTGCAACTGCAGAAGATGGGGTTGGTGTTCCTTTAGAATAATGGTGATTATAAAAGGTAATTCATCAAAGAAATGTTTTAAATACAAAGGAGGAGGACATGCAACATGGGAGTAAATTTTAAAGTGAAGTGGAAATGCTTGTTTGTTTGCACCTGTAGAAGATGAGGTTGATATTCATTAAGGATAACAGTAATTATTTAAAACATCAATCAATTAAGCAATTAATGTGTGTAAAATTAGAGGGAAAATCATGGATATTCATTGAAAAAAAGAGGGGGAGAGAGAGAGAGAGAAAAAAAAAGAAAAGAAGAAAAGAAGAGAAGAGAAGAGAAAGAAAAAACAAAAAAACTAGAGAGAGCTACAGATGACAGGTAGATCTAAAACCATGAAAATATATAGATACATACAAAGATAAAGAGACATAGGGTGA